CTTGTGTAATTTCCTGGACACATGATATGGTACCAAAGTCATTTATACATGCATTCCAAACCACTGCACATGCAATATTTGAGATTCAACCGGCAACTCTCATTAGGCTTCTGCAAAGTTAGTTTTAAGGTGATAATTGGCTACCACTGTTGGGGTAGTTACTCAAAAAAGGTAATGGATTACACACAACTAGTTACTTTTCTGTAAAGTAATGCCTTACTTTACTAGATTACTCACTGCAGAAAGTAATTAGTTATACTACTAGTTACATTGCTTTTGGATTACTGCATAACATCACCTGCGATGTGCAATATCTGCCAAATAACAATTTAAAGTTATACCTCATATTTGCCCAGATCAACACAAATCCTTATTATAATGAGGACATACACATGATCTCTCTTTTATGCTATTTAATAGGGTACTACAAAGCTGACAACAAAGTTGTAAACATTAGCCCAACATTTGTCAAGAGAAGAACAAGGCTACAATACAACACTATAATGCTCAAAACTTTAATTGGACATTTCATTGGAAACATAAATTTTTTAAATAATGAATTTCATTGCAATAAAACACAACTTAAAATAGGCCGCCCTCCAACCATTTAGTGCAAATATTAATTGGTAAATAAGACACTGCCCCTCATGACAATATCAGATGATGGTGAGAGGGGAAAAACATAGCATATGAAATGTAATTTAAAATGTGCATTTAACAGACCAAACCCACACAATAAACTTACTGTAGCTCACTTGCCAAACAATGGTTTTAAAGTGCATTTTTCCCTCTTAGGCCTACTGGAAAATCAAAGAAGGTGTTATAATTCATGGGCAGGAGTGTCTCAGATAGTTTGTCAGACAACCTGTTCCTCCTCAGAGTCAGCACAAGACTGCCCAGGCTAAAGAGCCTCGCCACAGGTGCACTAGAGGGTATCGCTGTCCTTTCGCAAAACTAATATGAAGTAATGAGAGTAAATCCACCCCTCAAAAGACATCTTTGCCATTTCTGCGTCATCATAAACTGGCGCTAAAGTCAAAAGTGAAGTTTTACGCAAACAAACAAAAGGGACGTCTGATTTATTTTTCTCGCCTCCTGTTATGCAAATAGTTGACGAACAAGTACAAAGTAATGCAATGATTTTGTTATTAGTAACTGTAATGGGAAGTTATCTGAATTTATCAACAGCAATGTATTACATTACTGCGTTACAGACAAAAGTAATTTGATTACAGTAATGCGTTAACCCCAACACTGTTATATGTTATACTGTATATACTGTTATACTACACAGACCCATATAGCTAGATATGCGAGTTTTCTCCTCCATCACCTCAGTAAACCCATAAACTTTTTTCACATTATCATTTTGATGGTACACTGATTTAGGGAGAATATTGTCATTGACACTCTGGGCCTGCGGCGCCTCCTATGGCTCAATGTAACATTAAAATGCCTGCGCAGGAAATCTATAGCAAGAACGGCGTAATGCTTCACAGCACAACCTCAAAAAAACTCTTTAGCAAGCAAGCTATAAGAAGAATCTGCAATGCAAGTTCTTTGGAAGAAGCTAGTTCAGTGTTCTCAGTATGGATCTCATGGCAGAGGCTTAGAGAGGCAAGAGGTTTAGCTATTAATCTTGAATTGAAGTTAGCAAACTTATTATACTCGGACATTGGTAAAGTTACTGTGCTCTTGCGTCGGTTGCTGTCTAGCTTTGTTGGCCACCCATGTTTCAAGCAACATTAAGCTGTTGTTGGTGAAGAGCGGAGTCATTGTGTTGCCAGAGCTGGCAAGCAGGCAACATAGCCAGGCTCAGCAGCGTAAATGGACATTATGTTAGCTAATGGCTGAGGTGAAGAGACTTAAGAGGATGTTGACGGAGTAAGAAAATGACCAAGCAAGTTGGCGACAGCTTTGTGAAATAAAAGGTGACAAGACCGACACAGAGCTGGAATTCTTTCTGTTGAACTAGTAAGTAATATTAATATTGATATGTCTTGTTTTGTCGCACTTGCTTGATGTTTGGCTGTGTTAGCAAAATTATCAACTTGCTAGTTTTTGATGATAAGTAATGTAATCATGACAAATATGTTCAGCAGTCCTTTTTTGGTGAATTACATTCAGAAATTGTAGGGGCGCAAAATCACACAAAAAACACAATGTTGCTTTAATGAACTGTTGCTTTAGAAGTGCGGGCAATAGCAGGGACTTAGCAAAATACAAGAACATGTGCTTTCTGCAACTTGAATTCATCCGTGAAGAAAATTATAAAATTGTTACGCTATAGATCAGAGACATGTTGGAAGCCTATTTGTCACGGGATTTCATGGAATCAGCCTCTGCAGGAGTCTGTTTTATCATGTCAGTGTAGACAATGATGGAGTAGTACGCAAGGGTGCAAGAAACAGACTGAGAAGCTGTGCTGCTAGGGAAATCGGGCAAAAAAATGAATCCTTTCATAAACAGATTCAACAAGCTATCCTTGTATAAGCATGATAAAGAAGCACACACAACAGTCAAACTTTCCTAAGACAAGATGTGTTGTCATACAAGCCTTACTTGGTTTTCACTTCAATTAATCTGATATGTCGGGTGACCTCCATTCCCAGATACTACACGGAGCAACTTTTAGAGCAATGGTGCTGGGCAATGTTGCCGTCAATGGTAATGAGTAAAGATTACTACTGTAATCCCCTTCCCCCATCACTCCGCCACCCTCCCTGTACCACCGCTATCTGTTCAAAACATAGTCGGACTTGCCACCAGCAAGATTGCCCAACAACATTGCTCGAAAAGTTGCTTTCCTCTTGTGTTTGTGTTCATTTCCTGTCTCTGTTTTCTTGTTCTCTGTGTTGTTTTTTCCTTGTGTCATTTATTCATTTATCCTGTGTTCCTGTTTTACTTTGTTACTATCCACCCCTCTTGTTTCTGACCTCTTCACTTCCTCCCATGGTGTTCTTCCCGCCTGTGCAATTGTATGGTACACCCTTATTGTGTCCAACTGTGCCTTGTTATCACTTCCCTCCTTGCATGTTTATGTGAGTGTCTTCCTATTGTCTGTTGTCAGGTAGTCTTCGTATTCTGTTGAGCATCCCTGTCTGTCTCCAGTGCTTGTGTTTTTTCATTTTGCATGAGTTTTTGCCTGTTTGAATTTGTCTTTGGTTTTCTAGACTTTGGATTAGGCTTGCTGCCTGCACCTGCTTGGATTGGTTTACCTTGTTTTGAACTTTTTATCTGTTTTTGGACTCTTGCCTTATGAACACTTATTGTTATTTCTTAATAAACACTATAAACTGTATCTGCTCCACCTGGTGTCCTGTGTTTGGGTCCAAACCCCTTGTTTTTTCTCTGTCTGGGCTTGGCTACTGTGACACTTAAATGATTCACAAATCGCAAGTTCAACCGAAATGAGATCTGCTGCTTATTGTGGCTGAATTTGTGGTCAGACAAAAAGTCAAATTTCCCTTCAAAGATACAATCTATTAACAAGTCAGATTAGAGTCCGTTAGATGTTAGAAAGCTTGTTTGCACTGAGCACTGCTTTGGCCTCAGACATCAGCTAAATCTCGATGAGGTCTGGAAAGTATTCTGCCGCCATTAAAAATCAGTGCACCCTTATTCCTCAGCAAATTTGTGAAATTGATTTAGTGTGTTGCAGACAACCACAGACTGTACAGACCCAGTCCACAAATTGCATGTGTGGTGGTGGAAAAGAAGTGTGAGGTGTATAGAAAATAGGACTGATGTGTTGACAGATACTGTGAATTTGGTTTTAATGGGACATTTGAAAGGGATTTAACACTGTTTTAATACAGTGTTATGATTTGTTCAACAAGACCACGACCTAAGCGTTCTACTCATTTTCCACATTGAATGACGTTTAAAGGCTGTTACTTTAAACAACATGGTATTCAAAGTCATTATATGTCTGTTTAAGTCATGAGTAATGTTGCTTTCACAATACATTGGGAACCATTGGAGGATTGTGACTTTAGCTAACTCCTTGCTTTGTATGCCTTTTGTTTCAGAAAAACGACTGAGGTCAAAGACTGCTAAATTGGCTTAAGAATGCTTATGGGTCATAATCATCTCTGTATTTTCAGTCAAATCTGATGAAAAAAGGCCACTGCGTTGGCTGACCTCTGATTTTCTGATTTGGTTTGTACTTTCCCCAGACTTGGCAGCCTGGGACAACGAGAGAACTGTAATAAGAATTATCTGACACAAGTATAAATACTTTCCATGGGTAATTGACCCTTTTCCTGGACACACACATACTCCAAGATCAAACGGGTATATCCTTGAGACTCCAAGAACCACTGATTAAACACATTTCAAAAGTATTTCCCTTCCATTGCAAGGGCAGATCTAGCTAAGGCATATGAGATGTGTTTCATTAAGTTGTATCATGAAATATAGTCTTTGTAGACTTTGTATGCGGACTGTATGTGAGAATACAGTATGTCTATGTATGTGCATGTATTTCATTGTCTGTCTCTGTATATACACACATTTTTAGGTGGTGAGGGGAAGTGACGCGGTGTGTTGCCAGCCAAGTCTCAGTGAATCTCAAGAAAGACAAATGGCATTGTTCCAGGAGCAGATACCAGCTTTACTGCTAAATCCCTGCCGGCTGGACTGAAATTTCAGCAATGTAAAAAGAGCAGGAGTGGAGCGGGGGCTGACAAAAGATGACATTGGCTTGTAAGTTTTAGGCGATGATGCTTTAGGGGATTCCATTATGTGGCTGTCACACAGCATTAGGCGAGACAGCAAACACTTTCATGTGTGGATTACCATTTACCCATTGGAGATAATAGATATTTGCCTTAGCTAATCCATTCCTCTATTGATTTTTCCCCTTTAATAACTTCTTGCAAGCAAGCAAATTTTAATAAGTGCAAGAATGCTGACATGTAAGAAGCTGGAACAAAGAGCTGAAAGAGACACAGATAAGCTGCTTAATGTAGTTTTCCTTACAAATATGTGATATAAGATCATTTTTGACAACTGTATTTATTTCAAGCACTATATGTAAGTGTTATCACAGTGTGATAACTGTATATCACAGAAAAGTCATGCAAATTTCAGTGGAGCTTCAGTGTCTCAAACAGAAGAGGTCAAAAGAAGTTAAGAAGTGTTATATATTTTTTCCATTATGTTTTTGTTATACAATAACACCATACCAACGAATATTTACAAAAACAAACTTATAGGATAAGTCAGACAGTATTCTATATTTTCCTAATTTTCATTATTTTTGCCATGGAAATATGAAAAACAACAATGAATCAATACAGTCTGTGTATCCAAAGTCTGATATAACTTATTTCTCTGTGACGTAGAGCTACATTGTTGTCCTCAAACTATTAAAAACATACCAGTGAGTCACACTGTTGAACTGGGTGACATGTTCATTACCATGAGTAATGCCATTGTAGTTTACTTTGAGTCGATCTTACACACACCGTCCTAGTGCTAGAGCACCAAATGTGTATTGAGCCTCCACTGGTATTAGTCCCACTACAGAATTTACTCAATTTAGAAGTGTTGGCCAAAAACTACAGTGCCCAGCTGTCTTGTAAAATTAAGCTTTTTTTATTAATTAAAATATATATTTTATGTTAAGGAAGTTGGAAAGTACTGAAAGTAATGCTTTGTTGGTTTTGGCCATTTAATGCGATTTGCTGACATGATCAAAAATATAGAATATCATCAACCTTACCCTTTAAACCCTTATATCAACTATTTTACATGAAAATTGCTTTTGTTGTGTAGGAATTGCTGTATTTTTAATACATCGTCTCTGCAGTTAAATAATTCAGAATAAGAAAAATAAGAAAATAAGACCATCAGTATTATGAACAAATTAGAACAATACATTTAAATTCATCCAGGACAGGTATTGTTTTATCATCATATGTACCAGTGATCAGAGCAACACCTCCTTCATACTTCCCACCAAATCTTAACCCCCAGCACTGTAACTGCTATATTTTAAAACATTAACAACAAAATTACATTGATCAGATGGTTCCTTTGTCAATTTTCTGCATATGTATAGGTGTACACGAAACTGTTGAAGTGATAAAGCATTTGTACATTTGACAAAAATAAGACATTTTCTTCATTTTGGTTTAGTTGTATGTTATCAAGCAAAAGACATGTTTTTTGTCTTAGTTTCTGGGATGTTAATTGAGGGAGACATATTCAGATGTTTAGTGTCTGGGGGCTCTTCGTCCTCGGCTTTGGCACCGGTGACGGTTGTAGTCTTTCAGCAGCTGTGGATAACTGGGGAGGCCTGTTTTCAGTCTGAGCTTCAGGCTGAGAAACATTCTCATAACAGGCTCTGGGCGAAGGCTCGGGGCTCAGGGGTGGAGAGTCCTCATTCGGGTGCATAGTCTCATAGTCGGGGCTGATGGAGTCAGGCTCGAGTTTGCTTACAGAAAGCATCCTGAGTCCCACTTTATCCCTGGATCTCATTTGGGTTTTATTGCATCTGTGGCAGCAACATAATATGATGATAATAATGAGCAAAAGCAGAAGCAGACCTGCTCCTCCTGCTAGCACTGCCACAACAGTTTTGGATGTAAAACATAGCAAAGATGGTGATGGACTTTCACAGGTTGGACGAACACTGTCACTCTTCTCCTTGCTGACTTTGTTTGTTACACTACATGTAAAGCTTTTCTCCCCTTTCAGCTGTGCCAATGATATGCTCAGTGTTTGTCTTGTTTCGCTTGTTAAAGTCTTTTCATCGAGTGTCCATGAGAACAGCAAACCCTGAGGTTTAGCTACATTGCAATTTAGATTTACAGCACTAGACTTGACGTCACAGTGATAAGTGAGTTGAGGTTTTGATACCTTGTCCATCATACAGAGATGACCAGTCCAGGTTTCAGCCATTGTTCGATTGGGATGCAGCACATCTACCTGGTAAGTCCCCACACTGGAGGGTTGTATGTTCTTCAGAATAAGAGATCCAGTATGAGTGATGTCCTCTGGCTTTCCAACAGGCACTCGGCCTTGGTCTTTATAGAATATGATTGTTCTATTATGAGTCCATTTCAGCAGATGTAAGTTTGTCAGTCCCTTAAAGACAAAAGGCAGAGTCAGTCTCTGCCCAAGAGCCGCATAGATTTCACAGGTGTCCTTGTTTGCTGCTGAGAGGTTGATGACTCCTGACAGAATGATAACACCAAGTGTGGCAGCAAAACTTGCCATATCGTAGAAGGGTAGACCAAGGTGTCCCTATAATAATCACTTTTTTCGTCTAATATGTTGAATTTCAAGCTCTGATCAAGAAGCAGTACTGTCAAGAATATAACTGGTCTCCAAAGAGAAGTGAATCTTCAGTAGGAAGGAAAATCTATTAGTCAAGAGTCTACTCTCAGTTCTCTGAAGACAACAAAAAGAACAAACATGTTGCAACTAACCTCTTTCACGTTGACGCTCACAGTATGACTTGTGTTGAAATTCTCTACAGTAACTCCAAACGTGATCTGATGGCAAAACAAATGTGGTCAAAGCATTACTGAATGAACCACTGAATCCAAATTAAACTTGTGTACCACCTTCTTCTTTTTAAAAAAAAATAAATCATGTGATAATGAAATCAGTAGGGGTGACCCTGAATAGTCGCAGAGCCTTTATGAAATGAAGATCATGCCATTTTGGCTATATGGGATGCTCAACGTCTAATTTGACATAGAACTACCATTTTTCTCCCAATAAGTTAATATACAGTCTGATATAAATATCATCAAATATTGGTGCTGTAAATAAACATGTTTTTGAATAAATCCAAAATTGTAACCCTAACCCTTAAGGTAGGGGGGGTCAGTGCGCATATGTGGGTGTAGCGCGCACTTTTGGACTAGAGGAAGAGAGATAGAGCACCAGATGCGCCGGTGTTGTGCTGAGTTGTGCATGAACTTTGTGGGATGTTTGAATCATTTATCATCATTGATAAACCGCACAAAGAATATTATATCGTTTTTAAACAGTAGCCCCCCCCACACACACACGCACACACCAAACCACATAATTTGTGTTTTTATTAATGTTAACAATTAATTAACATAATTAAAGCCTAGGTTTATTATATTTGGAAATGTAACATATAGATATTCAGTTTCTGGTTTGTTCATTTTAGAGTTATTTGGGGGATATTTTATGCTGAAAATCTATTTAAAAAATGCACTGATGTAGGTTACATGTCATTTATTTATTTATTTAAATCATACCTACTATACATACAATGAGGAAAAAGAAGGAGTTGGGTTAGGGTTAGTCTAAAGTCAGAGTGATGTCCAAAAAAAGGATATAGAGCAAGGGAGTTAAAAGATAGTCAGAGGCAAGGCACTGGCTATCAATCAAACCTCTGCCTGCTGGTCTAACTGTTGCAGAGTTGCAGACCCATCCCATTGCAGATGTCCATCTGTTGACCATACTGTGTAAGTCAGCTGCCGAGGGCTAATACCCCCAACCCACTGATACTTAAACTTGACATGCTATTGTATGTACTATTAACACTAATTTATAAGACATGTCATTAAAGGAAAACTACATCTAAATTCTGCTAGAACTCTGCCTCACAGCATATTTTAAAGATGCAACAGAGGAGTGAGAGAACAATGACTGTAGGAGGTGTGGGTTCGTGGCTACATAGTGTGTGATGTGGGAGGCCAGGGGACACAGGGGCACTGTGTTAACCAGCCATAAGCAGCTACTGTCACGCTGTGTTTCTGTGCTAGAGAGTCTGCTGGAGCTTTTGCAGTCACTAGAAGCATGATCCTTTGAGAGAGTTACTGATGTCTATGAAGATTCTCAGTCATCCAGGTCATAGTTATCCAACGAAGGTTAAAATCAAGGGCAACTGGACTTGAAGATTGGAAGAAGGTTGAAGATACTGGAAGACGTTTGTCCCTCATCCAAAGGACTTCTTCAGTTCTGACTGACTGGCAGGGAAACTCAGCTATTTAACCTCAGTGGGGTCGTTATCCCGGGTCATCGATACCGCTGGTTCGTTAGTGTTCCTTGTTGCTGTGACGACAGTCGTTACAGTCGTTAAGACTACCTGTGGCCAAGACTGAACGACCATCGTTGGTATCTTCACCTGAGGTCAATAGGTTACGTTTGTTGAGTTTCCTGGGAAGTGATGAAAGGACAGCATTGTAAGTGGGGGATAAGTGGTGGCGTAGACCCCCTCCCCTGTTCAATGACGGCTTCTCAACCCTGGTGTAGATGGCTTCCTTGACACCTCTTTCAAACCATCCATCTTCTCTGTCTAAAATGTGCACCTGGTGGTCCTCAAACGAGTGTCCTCTGTCCTTCAGATGTAAGTAGACTGCAGAGTCTTGACCTGAGGAGTTGGCCCTTCTGTGTTGAGCCCTGCGTTTGTGTAGTGGTTGTTTAGTCTCCCCAATATACAGGTCTGTGCATTCCTCACTGCATTGGACCGCATACACTAGATTGCTTTTCTTGTGTTTGGGTGTGCGGTCTTTGGGGTGTACCAGCATCTGTCTTAGTGTGTTCTTGGGTTTAAAAAACACAGGGATGTTATGTTTGTTGAAAATCCTCCTGAGTTTCTCTGATACTCCAGACACGTATGGAATCACAATGTTGTTGCGTTTGACCTTCTTTTCCTCCTCCCCTGTAGTTTTGTTCTTCTTGGATCTTGTGGCTGTCTTCACAAAGGTCCATTTAGGGTATCCACAGGCTGTAAGTGCCCCCTTCAGGTGGTTCTGTTCCTTCTCTCTGGCTTGGGTGCTTGTTGGTATGTTTTCCGCTCTGTGGTGCAGTGTTCTCATGACCCCAAGCTTGTGCTCCAGTGGGTGGTGTGAATCGAAGAGTAGGTATTGGTCTGTGTGTGTGGGTTTTCTGTAAACACCAATCTGCAGGCTCCTGTCCTCTTCAATGTGTACAGCGCAGTCCAGGAAGGCCAAACTGTTGTTGTGAACATCTTCTCGTGTGAACTTGATGTTACTGTCCACAGAGTTGATGTGTTCTGTGAAGGCTTGCACTTCCTGGCTTTTTCCTGAAACTGATGTCGCTATTGACCCAGGTGTCGTCCACATATCTGTACCAGTGGCTCGGTGCTATTCCTCTGAAGGAGTTGAGGGCTTTATTCTTCACTTCTTCCATGTAGATGTTTGCCAGAATCGGGGATACCGGTATAGCACAGGTATTGATGGGGTCATGTGTTCCAGTAAAGAGGAATACATCTCATACATCTCAGTCATGTATGATATGTGTTCTGCTATTTATACTTGGCAAGGCAGCTAACATACTGTATGAAAGAGATGTTGAGTCTTTTTCGTCACGGTTAGGTGTAAGAGAATGTACATACATGCTAATTTTGTACAGAAAAAGGTTTTCAACACAATAAGTGTATTGTTGGAAAATAATCACACAAAAAACAATATTTTTGATACTGAACCCAATAACTTTGTGTAAGGTGAAACCGTCAATAATATTTCCACCATGCTTTACTTTCAGCGAACTGGCTCAAACAAGCTTAGTGTGAGCTAAGGTTGAAATGGCAGAGAGATGAAACAAGCGAGTGGCTGGTGGAAAAAGTCGAGCATCTACCAAGTTGAATACATCCATACTTTTTTCAGTGAGCTAACCATTAGCAGAACAAAGGAGACTAAGAAACAAAATGTCTTGAATAACCCTGTCAGATGATAACTGGCTTGATATATGTTCCACAAACAGAAAGCAGCCAGCGATACACAGTACAATATTTCAGCAAATTAAGATACAGAGTATAAAAGTTATTGATATATTATGAAAGATGATTTGTTATGATTTGTTGCGTCTTACTGATGATTTATCATCAGTAAGATGCTAAAACGGCCCTGCTGGCCGTTTCATTAGTTATCCTGTCAAATCTTCCTGTCAAACAATACAAATTACGTTTATTTGTCTGCTTTAAATTGGTTTAGTAGGGCTGCCTTTTCTGATAAAGCAATTGAATAATGAGAGGAATATCTGTTGCTAATATCTGTTGTGAATGCTTTTGTTCTAGTGGTAGAGTCTAAACATTTTGTAATTAGAGATTGTGGCTATGCTGTAAATTAAATAATTTCAATAAATGTTCTTTTGAGAGAAGAAACTGTTGTACAGAAAGCTGCACAACAGTCATTTGCTTTTAACAAACAATAACAGAGGCTCCAGCCAAACCCAGTTGCATTTCGACCTCATTTGGCTCAGTGGTTTTAATCCAACAAGTCCCCAAGTGGCACATTTTCCTTTGGTTTTTAATTTGGTGGATCTGAAATTGAGTTGGCAGTTTTTACATATTATTAAACAAAAGATATTGCTCTTGAAATGTTATCATAATCAAGTGAATTTTCTGTAAATCCCCTACAGCATTTCCAGTAAACCAGAGTCATTGTTCACTTAACATCTAGCAATACCCTTGTCATTCCATAATTTATGACATCTTACAACCCTCCAAAGTACTTCTATAACTGTGTTGGCTTGCTCGAGCTGCACAAGAATGAGTTCATTTTGCACCCTCAACTATAATTTCATGCAATTAGCAGTGATTCACAATCTTTCTGTAACTCTCAGAACCTTCAAAGATACTCATAGCAAGAAGAACACCTGTTTCTGTCAGTTTCACCGACATTACACTTTTTCCTACCCTGAGGGAATAGACTGATGTAAAATGTGAGCTATTCAGAGGGGGCGGACTGAGAAGTGAATGCAATGGATTCCTTGTTACCAATGTTGTAAAGATTATATCTCTAAGAATTTCCCTGCCAGATCACAAAGAGGAACATGTGAGTAAATGTGTCTGGTGTGTGTGTGTGTGTGCTGCAGGTTCACAGGGAATCCAGCGGAGCAGATCTATGGTCCTCTTGTGTTTTATATCATAGCTGACATGAACCAAACAAGTTGTCTTTTCCCAGCTCCCCACAATTTTGATGAATATGTACAATATTGTACCTGGCAACAAAAACATACAAGAAATGCAATGAACGTTGTCAGCTGGAAAGGTTTACCGATCCAGCTTTTAACTTGCCGTGTTTCAGCACCCATTGTAGTTGTGTCAGTACCACCAGCAAAAGATCAATGCACTGGAAAAATTAAAACGTTTATCTTATTTTTTTTCATATTATAAGCTATTATATAATGATACACGATGATATCATGCCTGTGGATCTCAGTTCTCACAAAACAAACACCTGCGACTAATAAACCAATTAAGAGGAAAATTGCTCTCCAGGAGACAACAGTTCAAGTAGTTTGTGGCTATAAGAGATGAATATCACTCAAAATGTTTGTAAGTTTTAGCAGGTTTATTTTGCCTCTTCGATTCTCCGCATTTTATTTGAAATTAATTATAAAAATAATTTTCAGATTTAACTTAAGG